CTACCAACTTGCTCATTCATTGCTGGGAGCCACCTGAAGAAGGGTGTAACTTTGTCTCTAAAAGCTGAGAGGGACCCTGAAGCAAGTAAGAGCTAGAGGCTGTCAGTTAACCACACTCCTCACAGCTGGGCAGCCAGTCCTTTCTTGAAGGGGGATATTAGCAGCATATCCCTGTGTCTCCCACAGGGAACAACAGGTGGGAAAAGGTCAAAAATTTAGTTTTAAACAAGAGAGGGATGAAGTTAGTTAATTATAACATTGAGTCATCAAATACTTACTGGGTTTCTGTAATAGGCCATTCAGATAGAAATACTATGCACAGAGGCACCTGGGTGGCTCAGTTGGTTAAGCATCTGCCTCCAGCTCAGGTCACGATTCCAGGACTCTGAGATAGAGCCCTGAGTCAGCCACCCACTCAGCAGGGAGTCTGCTTCTCCCTCTGCCCCACCTCCCCACTCACGCTCTCTCTTTTTCTCAAATAAATAAAACCTAAATAAATAAATAAAAAAAGAAAGGAAGGAAGAAAGGAAGGAAGGAAAGGGATACCATGCACACAGTTGCAGCAGTCCAGATTTCAAAAGAGATGTTTGGGCTGGAGATATGGAGAACCAGTACACGTATGACTGGCTGGGATCATCCAATAAGACAAAATCATTTTTAACCCTGAGAAGTATCATTTTTCTGGAGACTGCCTGGAGGCAATTTGGGTTGTCATATTGGTGAGAGGGACAAGGAGGTAGGGTCCAGGGATGTAAAACATCCTGAAATGCATGGGAAATCCTGCTCAGTGAAGAAGTGTTCAACACAAAAAGCCAATAGCGCCCTCGTGGAAAAACTGGCTGTAGACAGAGAAGTGGTTCCAGAACCAATCCCTGGGACATTCTAAATTTTAGAAGCTGTGTAATGGAGAAAAATGTCTCAAAGGAGACTGAAGAAGAATATCCAGAAAGGTAGAAAGAAAACTAGGACAGAATGGTGTCAGATGCCTAGAGTGCAAAGTGCTTCAAGGAGAGAGAAGTTCGCAGCAAAGAATTCTGCTAATAGTTGAATAAGATGAGGACAGAAACTTGTCCATTCACAGGTGAGCTTAATAAGAGCAATCTCAGAGGAGTGGAGGAGATGGAAGCCAGACTGGCATAAGCTGAGAATAAAAGGGAGGTAAGCAGGTAGAGAAAGGAATTTTTAAAGGAATTTGCACACACGATAACCTGAGGAACAACTTATAGGGTGATTTGGAATCAAGGTAAGGGTTTTAGTTCAAACAGTTTATTATGAAAGTTTTTAAACAGAAAAATTGAACAAATTTCACAGTAAATATCACTAAATTCTACAATAACAATGTTACTCTATTTGTTTTATCACATCTTTTTATTTATCTGTAGGAAAGGGATTTTTATTTTTATTTATTTTATTTATTTGACAGAGAGAAAAATCACAAGTAGGCAGAGAGGCAGGCACAGAGAGAGAGCTGAGCAGAGAGCCCGACTCGGGGCTCCATCCCAGGACCGAAGGCAGAGGCTCAGCCCGATGAGCCACCCAGGTGCCCCGGTAGGGAAGGGATTTTTAAAGATGGAAAATACTGCTAGAGCATGTTTGTATGCCTAGAGTGTGATAGCTAGGGGAGATTAATGATACAGGGAAGACAAGGGATGGCCAAGTGAGAAAGATGAAGTGTTTGAGAACTGAGAGGAATGGATTCAGGTAAAGGGACTGCCTTTTATTGTTATAGGAAGAAAGAAAGAGGAAATGGTTAGAGAATCATAGGTTTGTGGATTTGATAGTATGAAAACGTGGCAGATGCTACACTATTGCCCAACTAACAGCTTAGACCTTCTTCTCTTGCTAACAGAACCTAAAATTTGGCACCCCTGGCCCAGACCCAGGGAGTTAATAGTGATTGGTCTCAGTCAGTCGACTGCATGCCCCTTTGCCAGATACTAACTTTCCCATCATATCTTGCAGCTAAGAGAATTGCCATAGAACCTATTTCTGGTCAATGGAACTGAAGGGTTGTTTGCTGAGGGGGCTTCCATGAAAGCTTTTCCTTTGCTGAGAAGAGGGGAGGGAACTTCTCACATAAAAGGTCCTTTTCCTGCCTTTATCCATCTCCAGTGTTTTTCTTACTTTTGAATGTGGTCAAGTTTATGATGTGGGGACTATGATAGCCATTTTTCAACTTTCAATAAACTTGAAGATGAAAATCCAGAGCTGAGAGCAGGCAGGAGGTAGGCAATATGACGTTACTGCTTAGCAGCTGAACCAATGCCAAACACTATCTCCCCCAGACTTATTTTTAAAAAAAGATTTTATTTATTTATTTGACAGACAGAGATCACAAGTAGGCAGAGAGGCAGGCAGAGAGAGATGGAGAAGCAGGCTCCCCGCTGAGCAGAGACCCCCCCCCATGCGGGACTCGATTCCAGGACCCCGGGATCATGACCTGAGCTGAAGGCAGAGGCTTTAACCCACTGAGCCACCCAGGCACCCCAGACTTATTTTTATCATGGAAAAATGAACTCCAATTCATTGAAGCCCCTGTAGTCAGGTTACGTCACTTTAGCTGAATATAGATACAGAATCTGAGGGAAGTACAGTGGCCATACCTTTTTTCTCCTGAACACCTCTTCCTGTTTTGATCCTGGTTACAGACTCTATTCCTAGGCCACAGGAATAAATACCTGATCTAAACAGAACTTGGATTCTTTCTGCTGAAAAATTTAAACTTAATTAGGAATACCCAAAGGCAGAAGGAAATAATCTATTATCCCTTCTAGAAAGAAGGCCCAAGATCTCTTGCCCCTGGGATTGTTTCCCTGCTTAGTCTGTCTACAAGTTATTCAATTATCCTCTCAAAAAAATCCCCCTTTTCTTTTTTTTTTTTTAAGATTTTATTTATTTATTTGACAAACAAGAGATCACAAATAGGCAGAGAGGCAGGCAGAGAGAGAGGAAGAAGCAGGCTCCCCGCTGAGCAGAGAGCCCAATGCGGGGCTCGATGCGGGACTCGATTCCAGGACCCCCGGATCACAACCTGAGCCAAAGGCAGAGGCTTAACCCACTGAGCCACCCAGGCATTCCAAATCCCCCTTTTCTTAAAGTTAGCTAGAACTGGTTTCTGTTGCTTTAAACCAATGGTTCTCAACCAGGGAGATTTTGCCTCTTAATGAATATCTGGCAATGTCTGGAGATATTTTCGGTTGACACAACTGAAGGTGGGTAATTTTCGCATCTAGGGTGTAGACACCAGGGATGCTAGTAACATCTGTAATGCACAGGACAATCCTGAGATTGAGCCCCAGATCGGGCTCCCTCCTCAGTGGGAAGCCTGCTTTTCCCTCTTTCCACCCTCCCTCTCATGATCTCTCTCTCACTCTCTCTCAAATAGATAAAATAGGGCGCCTGGGTGGCTCAGTGGGTTAAGCTGCTGCCTTCGGCTCAGGTCATGATCTCAGGGTCCTGGGATCGAGTCCCGCATCGGGCTCTCTGCTCAGCAGGGAGCCTGCTTCCCTCTCTCTCTCTCTCTCTCTGCCTGCCTCTCCATCTACTTGTGATCTCTGTCTGTCAAATAAATAAATAAAATCTTTAAAAAAAAAAATAGATAAAATATTTTTAAAAATTTAAGAAACAAAATAAAAAGCAAACTTATAGAACAAATTGGTGGTTGCCAGATTCAGGAGATGGGGAGTGGGTGAAATAGGTGAAGGTGGTCAAAAGGTACATACTTCCAGTTGTCAAATAAATAAATCCTGGGGATGTAAAGTATAGCTTGGTGACCATAGTTAAAAAATCCTGTATTGCATTTTTGGAAGTTGCTATGAGAGTAAATTTTTTTTAAGGTTTATTTATTTTAGAGAGAGAGAGAGAGAGAGAGCACGTCGGCCTGATGGAAAGCTGTGGGGAGGAGAGAGAGGGAAAGGGAGAGAATCTCAAGCAGACCTCCTATTGAGTGAGGAGCTCCATCCTATTACCCTAAGTGGAATGTCCTGAGTGGAAATCAAGAGTCAGATGCTTAACTGACTGAGCTACCCAGCTGCTCCGCTAAGAGAATAAATCCTAAAAAAAAATCTCATCATAAGAAAACAAATTTGTAATTATGTGTGATGATGGATGTTAACTAGACTTATTGTGGTGATCATTTCACAATATACATAGTGAATACATAATTTTGAAACATTATGTTGTACACCTGAAACTAATGTGTTATTTGTCAATTATACTTCAATAAAGAACAAAAGGGAAAAAAACCCTGATAAATCAAGTTGATCTAGAGATAACTCACATCCCCTAGAGCTTGTTAGAAATGCAGAATCTTGGGGTGCCTGGGTGGCTCAGTGGGTTAAAGCCTCTGCCTTCAGCTCAGATCATGATCCCAGGGTTCTGGGATCGAGCCTCACATCTGGCTGTCTGCTCTGGGAAGCCTGCTTCCTCCTCTCTCTCTGCCTGCCTCTCTGCCTACTTGTGATGTCTGTCTGTCCAGTAAATAAATAAAATATTAAAAAAAAAAGAAATTCAGAATCTTGGGCCTCATTGTAGATTTACTGAATATGAATATGCATTTTAAGAAAATCTGTGTGCATATTTAGGTCTGAGAAGCAAGGGGTTAGAGGATTTGATGAAGGTGAAAGTTTTTGCACGGGGATGCTGAAAAGATGCTTCTGGCAGAATTTTCTAAATCAGAGGTTAGCAAAAAAAAAAAAAAAAATTTTTTTCTATAAAGAGCTAGGTAGTAAATATTTTTAGCTTTGAGGGCCAAACAGTCTCTGTTACAACCACTGAACCCTGTCATTGTAGTACAACAGCAACCAGGGACAATATATAAACAAATGAGTATGACTGTTGAGCATGGCAATGTTCCAATAAAATTATTTGCAAAAACAGGCAGTTGGTTGATTTGGTCCAAGGGCCATAGTTTGCTGACCCCTGATCTAGACCTTAGTGAAATGAGTAAGTCTTGGCTCCCATGTAGTGTACTGTTGAGTTTTCCTGTTCTGATTACTTACTGTCTCTTGTCAGTATATACTCCTGCCTCCCTCTCTCCTCTTTTGAAGACAACGAAGAACTTGGCCAGTTGATGTTCTGTGAGATCCTAGAAGTGAGAAAGGGGAGAACTGAGGTATTAGGAAGCCATAATTTCCTTGATATCATTTATTTTCTGTCCAAAGTATCAAGAGATGTACTATGGGGCAAGCTTCACATCAGCTGTTTCTTTGGAGTTGTTTCCTTTTTATTTTCTTGGCTTCTAGTAAACTCATTTTCAACTTCTCTGAGCCAAGGGAAATCAAGAAAAGATATTTTATCCTTGCATAGACTGGGTTGAGCAATAGCCCCTTGATGGCAGTGGCAGTGGTAATCAGAGAGAGATTCAAAGGTAACAGGTTGATGGCTGGGGGTAGTGGAGGGGAAGAGAAATCATATCTATTGAGCATCTCTTCTCTAACGCTTTACATCATTTGAATCCTTACAGTAACTCCAGTATTATGACCCCAGGATACAGATGGAGAAACTGAAACCAATATTTTATCAAACATTAATATAGCAATTACTGTATGCCACGTACTGCTCTGTTTTACAAATATAAACTCATTTAATCCTCAGAACTCTATGAGGGGAAATATTCTTGCCTCCATGTTAGAAATGGGGAAACTATGCTATGGAGACAGGTTAAATAACTTGCTAGAGGAAACTCAGTTAATAAAGCAGAACTGGGTTTTCAATCCAGAGAGAATGGGATCTTGTTCTGACTCCAAAACTTTGTTTTCTTCTGTTGTACAATGTAATAATAGTATGTTCTCCAGTCCTCCTTCCCATCAGATTTTCCATCAATGCTAGCCCCCCCTTCCAAGTTTGGGGTTACCTATTAAGTAGCATTTCCTTATTAGTCCCTCAGATCATAGCATGTTTCCAGGGGTCATTATCAATAATTTTTCTCTACCACAAAACAATCTTTATTAGTATAAGAGATGCTGTTGCCTGCTTTATATGAGCATGACACTCTGAAATATTTTTCTCAGCAATTTCTCCTAACCCTGGATCTTGCTGTTTAATTTTCATTTGCCCTGTCTTCCTTGTCTTCTTTTTTGTTCATGCCAGAATATTGCTGAGAATAATGCTGACATCTCAGTCACCACGCTAGTGTACATTAACCTTTTCCTCTTATTTTATTATTGGACTAATCCAATTTTCTTATTCTCCATTATTCACCTCCATTGGATTACCATAATCTAGATACATTATTACCAGATCTTTCAGAGTGTCCCCTTAAAGGTTCTATCCCAAATCTTAGTGCCTGAATCAGGCACTATGTGTTTGGCCCTCTGGTGGATAATGGGTAATAAAAAAGTGGATGATGGGGATGCCTGGGTGGCTCAATTGGTTAAGCATCTGCTTTTGGCTCAGGTCATGATCCCAGATCCTGGGATCCAGTGCTGGATTCCACATCTGGCTCTTCCTCAGTGGGAAGCCTGCTTTTCCCTCTGCCTGCCAACCACCACCCCTCACCCCGCTTGTGCTCTCTCTGACAAATAAATAAATAAAATCTTTAAAAAAAATGTGGAAGATGTATTTACGGTTTAGTGATTTCCACTAAATGTGGTATGGTCTCCTGATCTGACACTAATATTGATTACTAATGATACATAACCAATATACAATATTTCCCCATGTTTTTCAAATTGAAATTCAGTGCTCCTACACCATCACCTCTTGAATATTCTTTCTTACTCTAGTGCCTTGCTCTTCAATCTGTCCATCGGAGCAGAACATGACTATTTTCCTTACCTTTGGCTCTGCTATTAAACTTTCATTAGAGGCAGAATCACAACATTCTAAGACTTTGATGATGATAAGGGAGATAGTTTAAGATTTTGATTTTTAAAAAGTGCAAAAGTGTTTCTAACTGAACCTTAAAAAGGTTTGAGGCACTGTTCTAAGTATGTCCACGAGAAGTGCATAAGAGCAAAGTTTGCTGGTCTTGCAGTCCAAAGACTTGAATTATAGTCCTAGCTCAGCCACTAAGGTAAGGATGGCTAACATTTATTGAGCACTTACTGTGTGCCAGTCACTTCTCTACTAATCATCGCGCTGTGAGGAGGAGGGTACAAGTATTACCCCTTTTTACAGAAAAGGAAACCGAGACACAAAGCGCTTTAGTAACTTGGAGTTGGTATGGTAAGCTGAATCCGGTTTTGCAACATAGGCAGTCTGGCTCCAAACTGGTGCAGTTAGTTCCTACCCGCCTTTTTTCCCTGGTAAATACAATCAGCCATGATTAACATACGTGCAGCAGGTTCGGCACTGGTTTTCTGCAGTTCTACTCATTTAATCTCCACGAACAACTCTGAAGTTGATACCGTTTTTTTACAAGCTAGGAAACTAAGGCCCAGAGCGGTAATTATTATTTGGCAGACATGCTTGGAGATCAGCCTCGAGGCTCCAAAAGCGTCTCCAACCCTCGAACCACCTGGATCTTTGAGTCTGTTTTCCCACCTTTAAAGTGAGGGGAAGTGGAGTAATGCCTCAGTTCTACGAGGGAAGGCTGTAGAGAGGTATGTGCGCACAAGGGTGAGCGAGAAGGGGTGGTAAAGCAATCAAGCTCGGGGGCCGAGGGCCCAGCATGCATAATTGGGGCTGGTGAGGGTGAGGATACTAGAAAGACTCCCGCCAGGGAGGAGGCCGGGGAAGTGGGGGGGGGGTGCCACCCCGAGCGAGGTCTTTAGGCGAAAATGGGGCCTGACAGCCTATCTCTGCCGGGTCAAGCGCTGCGGCGCTTCCAGCGGCCAAAGGGGAGGGGATCCCAGGGGCTTTGTCCCGAAGTCGGGACAGCACCTCACCCGCCCAAATTCTGCTTCGCTAGATTCTCCATGAAAGCTAGAGAAGGAAGGGGCGCGGCTTCCCAGCCAGCGTCGCAGAGCGCCACGTCCCTCTTGGCTTAAGCTCCCCAGGTTCCTCCGCGTTCCTCTTCCACGCCATCCGCCTCTCACCCCGCGGGGGCGCGGCCTCATCTCCGCCCCTACCAATCGGGAACGTCCGTGGCCCCAATCGGACCAATCAGAGGCTGCCAGGAGGGGCGGGGGCTGTCGCCAAGGCAGCGAAGAGGCGGGAGCGTGCGGTCAGCGGAGGTACAGAGAAAAACCGCGGGCGGGGGGCTGGAGAGACAGGTTTGTGTGTTGCGTGCATTCAGCAGGCGGAGCCTCGAGCGCCGAGACCCGGCTGGGTAAGGCCAGAGGCCGGAGGTGGGTGCGGATCAGCGCGGCGGGAGGCTGGAGCGGGTGCTGAGAGAGGGCTCAGGGCTTCGGCTGCCCTACCCTGCAGTGAGAATGGCGGGGGGAACCGCACAGCGGGCGGCACCGACGAGGGGTGGGTGCTTCCAGTTGCAGCCCGAGGCGTGGGGTCCCTTTTCCCACTCCACTTGCCTCAAGGCACCCAAGCTTTCTTTAGGGTAGATGAAGGTGGTAGGCTCATGGCGGGGAGCAGGCGTAGGTGAGTGCAGGACCGAGACCCCGTCAGGGTCCAGCCTCGCCTTGGCAGGTCGCTGGGCGAGGGAGGCGCCCACTAAGAAGTGGGGTGTACCCACCAGTTCCCTGCAGATGCACATCGCCCCTGGCGCAGTCAAGCGAAACTAGGCCGGCCAATCCTGCTCTTCTGCGTGTCTGTTAACCCTACAAACCTTGACACTTAGAGAAAGTTCGTGTCAGCTGTGGTATTGTTTTCCCTTAAGTGAGAAATCGCTGTAAGATGAGCTCTTTCTGTTTCGGAGGTAGTACTTCCACTTCCTTGTTGCACTTACTAAATGGTAACTCTGTGAATAAATGTAGTTATTGTTGTGGTCGGTGCTGGCAAGGGGTCTTGGTTGGCAATTATTTTACAATATCCAGATTTTTTTTTTTTTTAAGATTTTATTTGTTTGTCAGAGAGCCCAAGCAGGGGAAGCAGAAGGCAGAGGGAGAGGGAGAAGCAGGATCCCCGCTGAGCAGAGAGTTGGACACAGGGACGTAGGGATCCATCCTGGGACTCTGGGATCGGGACCTGAGTAGAAGGCAGTCGCTTAACGGACTGAGCGACCCAGGCGTCCCACAATATCCAGATGTTTTATAATATCGAGACAGAGACAGGAGCAGGGAGAGAGGGAGAGAGAAAGAGGGAGAAAATATGAACATGACCCTTGAATCATTATTCTGAATTCTGGGAGATGGAACCTCTTGAGTGTCCACTAAACTCTTAAATTGGATAATGTACACGTACACAATTGAATAAGTAAGTGCTCCCATCTAAGTCTTTTATTGAAGCTATTAAATCCATGGATGAATATGAACATCAAACCACCTATTATTATCTTGGCTAAAAAGGGGGGAAGGGGAAAGAAGGAGGATAAAAGCAAATATTTCTTTTTTTTTTTTTTTTTTTGAGATTTTATTTATTTATTTGAGAGAGAGAGAGTGAGCAGGAGTAGGGGTTGGTAGGCAGAGGGAGGGGGAGAAACAGGCTCTCCCCTGAGCAGGGATGGCTGTGTGAGACTGGATCCCAGGACACTGGGATCATGACCTAAGCTGAAGGTATCTGCTTAACCAACTGAGCCACCCAGGTACCCCTTAAATGCAAATATTTCTGATAGTCAATTCTGTCTGAAGGAGATTCTGGACTTTGTCTAAAGAACTGGAAAAAAAAAGTGCTGAGACCGTTGCTTTAAGGAATTTATTAAAAGTACTATGGTTAAAAAAAGTAGCATGGTTAATAGATTTGGATCTGATATGCAAATATTTCTGATAGTTTTGTTTGAAGGAGATTCCAGACTTGTCCTGTAAGAATTGAAAGAATTGAGGAGACATTTGCTTTAAGGAATTTGTTCAAAATAGTATGACTAGAGGTATAATAGATCTGGATCCTATAACCTGTAGCTCCTTTCATGATTTATTTAAATTTTTGTTTCTTACGGCCTTCTCTGGTGAATTCTGTTGAATAGTCAGGCAATATCCAGATTCTTGCATCTTGTTCCTTATAGAAATTACCTCAGGATTCAACTTCATTGAAGCTGAATGCGGGTTCTTGTTTCATAAAACTCGACCAGCAAGTTCAACAAATGCTGAGCAAACAAATGTCTCAACAAATGTTCCTCAGTAAATGGGGCCCCAAAATTTTAAAAATGGATATTTAAAATGAGAAATCTCAAATACCTTTACTCTTGTGATTGGGGTAGACATGGAAACTACTGTTTCTCATCTAGTTCTCTAAACTTTCCATGATCCGGTCTAACTTTCTAGTGAAAGATTCATTTCTGCCTCCTGGTGGTTACTAGTGCTGTTCTCTTCCAGCAATCTTAATATACCCACCTTGCCATGGCTGAAATCCCTGCTCTGTTCACCTTAATCTGCTAATCGGTACTTACTGTTCAACTTTTGCCAAACTGGTCTGTGCCCTGTAAATACCAGTTGAAATGAAATGCACAATGAAAACAATGAAGGTACCTTTCAAACCTCTAGCTGTTCATCATGGTTGTTAATATAGACTACAGTAACATGATCAGTACCAGTGTCTTTTTGCTTGGAGTTATGTTGTGTATCTCTATAGATAAATCCGATTAATTTTGTTATTTAGAATAACATTTAAGTTGCTTTCCACTTTCTAAGGCCTTTTTGATGAATGAGCAAAATACGCTTTTAAGTATTGGGTAGCTGGAGGAATCAAGTATAGGATTTTAAAGTGCATTGAAAGTAATCCTTAAGTAGATAAACTTTTAAGTATTGTGAGTAATTGAGTTGACTGTATTTGGTATGATAGATGATTAACTTTTTCTAAATATCTGAAGGTCTGGAAAGGGGAAATTTGTTATTTTTATGTTGGATATGTGCAATTAGCTTATAGACTTTAAAAAACAGGCTCCTAACATTTCAAATGACTTATTTAAGGAAAAAAATCTCAATCATTTATTGATTTTCAATCCAAAGTTAAAAAAAAAACCATGAAATGGTGAAAATTATTCTTGATTAGAATTTGATGACCAGATTCCAATCCTGTCTCTGTCAAATAGTTTTGGCCGCGTTAGTTAGCTTCCTTATGCTTTATAACCTTTTGTAAAAGTTGGGTCTGAACCACACCTTACCTCTGAGATCATTTCTGGTCCCAGAATTCTGTGTTAAAAATTTTAAAGCAACCTAGTGAAAATTGAGATAGCAGTTGCGTGCTTTTGTTTTTGGCAGAGCTTTAAAAAATTTTTTTTCAATTTTTTTTTTTAATTTGGCAGAGCTTTTTGGCATATTTTAGTTATCCAAAGTACAGTATATATGCATAATGGAGACATTGTAATTTTACTAAATTTGTTTATTGGTGATACAGATGAGAAACAGTATCTGCTTTCATTAAGTAAGCCTATTACCAAGGATACTGTAACCAATTAAGATTGGGGGGGGAAGGCAATATGATGGTGTCCTTTTCTACAGATATGAGCCTCAGAGACATTAATATCTATACTAATGTCTTGATACATGGAAGGGTTGGAGTCCAGCTAAGCTGGTTATACATTTAATGCTTTTATTTTGAATCTCGCTTTCCTGTGGATGCTTATTTAATTTTTTTTTTAATTAAGTAATCTCTGTGCTCTAGGTGGGGCTCGAACTCACAACCCCAAGATAAAGAGTTGCATGCTCTACTGACTAAACCAGCCAGGCACCCCAGTATCTATACTAATGTCTCAATACTCGGAAGGGTTAGAGTCCTGCTCAGCTGGTCATACATCTGATACTTTACTTTGAATCTTGCTTTCCTGTAGATTCTCTTTTTTTTTTTTTTTTAAGATTTTATTTATTTATTTGTCAGAGAGAATGAACACAGGCAGACAGAGTGGCAGGCAGAGGGAGAAGCAGGCTCCCCGCCGAGCAAGGAGCCCGATGTGGGACTCGATCCCAGGACGCTGGGATCATGACCTGAGCCGAAGGCAGCCGCTTAACCAACTGAGCCACCCAGGCGTCCCTGGATTCTCATTTTTAAAGGGAAGAATGGAGTTGGGTATCAGGGTTCTGATCTCTCTCATCACTGATGCCACTGAGAAACTCAGAAGCCGTTTATTTTTCTCCACCCCACTCCCTTTCACTGTTAGAATTAAGACATTGACAGCAAGAGGAAGCAACCAAGGTTTCCTGGCTAAGGGCAGTGACTTGGAGAGAGAAACCTGGGACTCTTGGTTTATTTATTTATTTATTTATTTTTAAAGATTTTATTTATTTATTTGACACAGAGAGAGAGAAATCACAAGTAGGCAGAGAGGCAGGCAGAGAGAGAGGGGGAAGCAAGCTCTCCGATGAGCAGAGAGCCCGATGTGGGACTAGATCCCAGGACACTGAGATCAGGACCCGAGCTGAAGGCTGAGGTTTAACCCACTGAGCCACCCAGGCACCCAGGAACTCTTGTTTTAATCCCATGGAGGAAGAGATTGTATTCCTCTTTTGTTGGTTGTATTCTTTTCATTGGCCTGTAGCTGCATCAGGACTTTGGCTATGGCAATGCTCAGGGGAGAGTTCTAATGCAGCCTTTCCAAAAATGACATTTAAAGGTTATATGTCAAACTGGTATATTGCTTTTTAGGTTCTATAACTTTGTGTGTTTACAGAACAGATTTTTATTACTTTATATAGCTGTTTCATTTCAAGACATGAAGGGCTTTAATATTTACTGAGCGTTTATGATTGCCATGCATTGTGCTAATTGCCATATATTCATTCTTACTTTCAGCCAATCAAAAACTTAGGAAGAAGTATTAGTTCAGTTTATAGGTAGGAAAATTGAGAACCAGAGAGGCAAACAGCTTGCCAGTAAATGGGAGTGATAAGGATTCAATCTGTTGTTTATTTTTGACTATGCTGTGTTAATAAAAGTCCACATGCCTTTTTGACATACAATGTGTATGATCACTCTCCTGCTTAGATGATTTTATTTTTAATATACCATAAAAAGAAATATATGTGTTCTTAAAATCTGAAGATATTTTATTTGCTTATTTTCTTTGTAAACTGCTTAGAAATAATTCCTTTTGTTCACCAGTGAGTTTGCACATGAGCCAACTGCCTTGTATTTGACAATTGGATTTCAAAAAAGAAAATCTGAGCTATTTTGCTTTATTACTGATCTCTGTGACTGAGACTCGGGCCAAGATTAATTTTTTAAAGTGATGGTAAGAGTAAAGAAAGATTCTAGTTAAGGATTTTCAGAGAAATTTCAGTTAAGGATCTAATAAGAAAACTTACCCTGTATCTTGAAGTCTCGTTGCTGAGGAAAATAAGCTTTTAGTCTGAATTCTTATTTACAAGGGGAGAGGTACAGTAAAGCCAGCATCGTAAACCAAAATCTTTGTTTATTGTGGTCTTTGATTCTGTTTAATATTTCTGTCTTCCCTCTCCCCTGGATTTTGATATAATTTAGTCTCCTTCCACATAATAAAAATTTGGTACTTTTACTATTTACAGGATGTGACAAATATATATACTATCATATGCTGTTACCACTATAATAAGGCCAAAATTTATGTTTATATTTAATCTGGTTTTATCTCTTTTTTTTTTTTATATTTAGAACTTGCTGAGTCAGATTTTAGTGAAAAAGCATTGACCTAGGAGTCAAGACCCACCTCTTCACTAATGTGATATTGTGCAAGTCATCTTACTTCTCTGCATCTCAGTTGCCTGATCTGTAAAAAAGGAGATAAAAATTCTTTACCTATCTGAAGGTAAGTGATTAGTTAAGAAAGCAAAAAATAAATACAGATGTAATGGTGGCTTAAACATACAATGTTTATTTTCTTATGTAAAATAATTCTTTTTTAAAAAAGATTTTATTTATTTATTTGAGAATGAGAGAGAAAGTGGGGAAGAGAGGGTGAGGGGCAGAAGGGGAAGCAGACTCCCCACTGAGCAGGGAGCCCACTGTGGGGCTCAGTCCTGGGACTCTAGGATCATGACCTGAGCAGGAGGCAGAGGCTTGACCAACTGAGCCACCCAGGTGTCCCTCATGTAAAATAATTCTTGAATTATGTTGTCTGGGTCAGGTATAGTAGCTTCATAAAGTTATCAGGGACTTAAACTTTTCCCAGTTCCTTGTTCTGCCATCTCTAAGGTTTGGCACTGGTCCTTGTAGTCCAAGATAGCTGCCAGAATTCTAATCATCACAGCCAGGTTCCAGGCAGCAAGGCAAAGACAAAGATGCTTCCTTTTCCTTTAAAGAGACTTCCCAAACCAAAACTCAGGTTACCAGGGAAGTAGGAAATGTAGCTGGATGTTGAGCTACCCTGAATAAAACTGGGCTTTTGTTACTGAGGAGGAAGGGAGGATCTGGATATTGACAGGCAAATAGGAGTCTCTGCCATACTCTTTTTCTCTTTCATCTTTGAGATCTGTAAGCTATGATAACCACTCATAGGAACTTCGGTAATTGCCACAGAAGAGCTTTGTCTGATCATTGTCTTCAAAATGAATAACTTTAATAAATTGTGTTTCTTTTTTTACTTTTATCCTGTGATTCATTATAGAAGCTTTCCTGTCTTATTGAGTATTTGTTCTGGTTATTACTTGTATTTTTATTATTGAAATATAATTGATAATGTTATTAGTTGCAAGTATATAATATATTGATTGATCAGTTGTACACATTACCCAGTGCTCACTCCAATAAGTGTACTTACCGTCTATCACCATACAAAATTACACTGTTACTGACTATATTCCCTGTGCTGCAATTTTCATCACTATGATTATTTATTTTACAACTAGAAGTTTCTATCTCCTAATTTCTTTCACCTATTTTACCCATCCTTCCACTTCCGTTCCATTTGGCAACCACTAGTTTGTTCTCTGGATTTATGGATCTGTTTTTGTTTGTGTTTTAGATTCCACATATAAGTGAAATCATGCGGGATATGACTTTCTTCACCTGATTTATTTCACTTAGCATAATACCCTTTAGGTATATCCATGTTGTTGGAAATAACAAGATTTTGTTCTTTTTTTATGGCTGAGTAACATTCCAGGATATATACCACATTTCCTTTATCCATTCACCTATTAATGGACACTGAGGCTGCTTCCATGTATTCACTGTTATAAATAATGCTGCAATAAACAGGGGTGCATGTATTTTTTCAGATTAGTGTTTTTATTTTCTTTGAGTAAATACCCAGCAATGGAAGTACTGGGTCATGTGGTATTTCATTTTTAATTTTTTTAATTTAATATTTTGAAGAAACTTCATGCTGTTTTTCTAGCAATTGTACCAATTTACATTCCCACCAACAGTGCACAAGAGATCCCTTTTCTCTACATTTTGGTCAGCACTTGTTGTTTCTTAATTTACTGATACTAGCTATTCTGACAGATGTGAGGAGATATCTCAGTATGGTTTTGATTTTTATTTCCCTGGTGATGAATGATGTTGAGCATCTTTTCAGTTGTCTGTTGGCCATCTGTCTGTCTGTCTTTGGAAAAATATCTGTTCAAGTCCTGTGCCCTTTTTAAAATCAGATTTGTTTTTTTACTCTCAAGTTTTATGAGTTCTTTATATATTTTGGTATTAACTTCTTATTAGATACGTGATTTGCAAATATCTTCTTCCATTCAGTAGATTGCCTTTTTATTTTGTTGACGGATTCCTTTATTGTGCAAAAGCTTTTTAATTTGATGTAGTACAAAATAGTTTACTTTTGCTTTTTTTTTCCCTTGCCAAAAGAGACATATCTAGAAAAGTATTGCTACGGGTGATGTCAAAGAGAAGTGTGCCTGTTTTTTTTTTTTTTCCCCTAGGAATTTTTATGGTTTTAGATGTCCCATATAGATCTTTAATCCATTTCGAATTTATTTTGTCTGTGCCATAAGAAAATGTTCTAGTTTCATTCATTTGCATGTAGCTGTCCAGTTTTACCAAGCCATGAGGAGACTATCTTTTCCCCCATTGTATATTCATGTCTCCTTTGTTGCAGATTAGGTGGTTTTTGTTTTTTTTGTTTTTGTTTATTTTTTTTTTAAAGAGGGAGAGAGAGAGAGAGAGTGTGTGCAAGTGGGGGTTAGGGGCAGAGAGAGAGAGACAATCTTTTTTTTTTTTTTTAAATATTTATTTATTTATTTATTTGAGAGAGAGAGAGAGAGAGAGAGAATGCATGCATATAAGCAGGGGAGGAGAAGAGAGAGAGGGAGAGAGAGAGAGAGAGATCTCAAACAGATTCCCCACCAAGTGGGGAGCCTGACATAGGACTCGATTCAGGGCTTGATCTTACAACCCTGAGATCATGTCCTGAGCCTAAACTGAGAGTTGGCTTCTCAACCACCTGAACCACACAGGCACCCCAGAGAGAGAGAGAGTCTTAAGCAGCCTCCACACTCAGCACAAGCCTGACCCAAGGCTCAGTCTCACAACCCTGAGATCATGACCTGAGCCAAATCAAGAGTTAGACACTTAACTGACTGAGCCACCCAGGCACCCCTGTTGTAGATTAATTGCATAAGCATGGGTTTATTTCTGGGCTCTGTATTCTTTTTTTTTTTTTTTCTTTTTTTAAAAGATTTTATTTGTTTGAGAGAGAGAGAGAGGCAGCATGAACAGCAGGAAGGGGCAGAGAGAGAGGGAGAAGCAGACTTCCTGCTGAGCAGGGAGCCCAATGAGGGGCTTGATCCCAGAACCGTGAGATAATTACCTGAGTTGAAGGCACGTGCTTAACTGACTGAGCTACCTAGGCACCCCTGGGCTCTGTATTCTGTTCTATTGATCTCTGTGTCTGTTTTTGTGCCAATACCATACTGTTTTGATTACTATAGCTTTGTACTATAGTGTAAAAATCTGGGATTGTGATACTTCCAGTTTTGTTCAAGATTTCTTTGGTGAGTGCCTGGGTGGCTCAGTTGGTTAAGCATCTGACTCTTGATTTCAGCTCAAGTCATGATCTCAGTGTCCCGTAATCAGCCCTGCATGAGGCTCTGCACTCAGCGTGGAGACTGCTTCGGATTCTCCCTCTCCTTCTACCCTTCTTCCTGCTTGTGCTCTTTCTCTATCTCTTTCTAAAATTTAAAAAAAAAAAAATCGCTTTGGCTATTTAGGGTCTTTTTTAGGTTTATACAAATTTTAACATTATGTTCCAGTTTTGTGAAAAGTACTATTGGTATTTTAATATGGATTGCATTGAATCTGTAAATTGCTTTGAGTAGTATGGACATTTTAACAATATTAATTCTTCCAATCCATAAGCATGGTGTATCTTTTCATTTGTGTTGTCTTCAGTTTCTTTCATCGATATCTTCTTACAGTTTTCAGAGTTCCAGTTTACCTCCTTAGGTAAATATATTTCTAGGTATTTTATTCTTTTTAATGCAGCTGTAAATTTTTTTAAAAAATTTCTCTTTCTGCTTCTTTATTCTTAGTGTATGGAAACAACAAATTCCTGTATATTAATTTTGTATCCTGCAGCTTTACTGAATTCATTAATTAGTTATAATAGTTTTTTGGTGGAGTCTTTAAAGTTTTCTCTATATAGTGCCATGTTACCTGCAAATAGAGAGTTTTACTTCTTCTTTACCAATTTGGATGTCTTTGTTTCTTTTTTTATCTGATTGCTATGCTTTGAATTTCTACTACTTTGTTGACTAAAAGTAGCAAGAGTGAACATCCTTTGTCTTGTTCCTGATCTTAGAGGAAAAGCTTTCAGTTTTTCACCATTGAGTATGATGTTAGCTGGGGCTTGTTATATATGGCCTTTATTATATTGAGGTATGTTCCCCCTAAACCTATTTGGTTGAGATTTTTTTATCATGAATGGATGTTGAATTTTGTCAAATGCTTGTTCTTTTGTATCTATTGAGATGATTGTATGGTTTTTATCCTTAATTTTTTCTTAATATGGTATATTGTGTTGATTGATTTGCATATATTAAACCATCCTTGTATCCCTGGAATAAACCCCATTTGGTAGTGGTGAATGATCCTTTAAATGTATGGTTGAATTTGATTTGCTAATATTTGTTGAGAATTTTTGCATCTATGTTCATTAGGAATATTGGTCTGTAGTTTTCTTTTTTTGGAGTGTGTTTGTCTGGTTTTGGTATCAGGGTAATGCTGGTCTAATAGAATGAATTTCAAAGTTTTCCTTTCTCTCTCTTTTTTTTTTTTTTTTTAAAGATTGATTTATTTACTTTAGAGAAAGAGAATAGTGGTGGCGGGGAGAGGGATAGAGAGAATCTCAAGCAGACTCCCCACTGAGTGCAGAGCCCAACATGGGGCTTGATCTCACAACCCTGAAATCAAGAGTTGGATGCTTAACCAACTGAACCACCCAGGCCCCTGCTTCCTCTTCTATTTTTTAATAATAGGTATTAACTCTTTAAATGTTTGTTGAATTTATCTGTGAAACTTTCTGGTCCTGGACTTTTGTTTGTTAGGAATTCTTTGATTCAACTTCTAGTTCTAGTTACTAATAATCCGTCTGTTCAGGTTTTTTTTTTTAAAGATTCGTTTATTTATTTGTGAGAGAGAGAGAGAGAGTGTGTGTATGTGTATGTGTGTGTGTGCATACATGAGTGGGAGGAGGGGCAGAGGGAAATGGAGAGAATCCCCCTGTTGAGCATGGAGCCCAATGTGGGGATCCATCCTAGGCCCCTGAGATCAGACCTGAGCCAAAATCAAGAGTTGAATGCTTAACTGACTGAGCCACCCAGGCACCCTGGTCTGTTCAGATTTTTTATTGCTTCCTGA